AAACAAAGACCTCGAGAACATATTCGGAGCTTATGGCGAGGTCAAGGAGGTGATGCTTCTTTATTGTTTCTCTTGTTTTCTAGAGGTTTCGCTCTAAACCTTGCAAAATGGGTTAACGTTTGTGTAAGTTATGATGTTCTGACAAAAGCAGATAAGGGAAACACCAAATAAGAGGCATCACAAATTTGTTGAATTTTTTGACGTTAGATCAGCTGATTCAGCTCTAAAAGCTTTGAACAGGACTGAAATTGCTGGAAAGCGTATCAAGCTTGAACATAGCCGTCCTGGTGGTGCTCGTCGAAAGTTAGTTTACTCATCATACTAACAAAGTTTTCTCTGGAGGATGGACTAATCTTTTTGTTTTTTTTCTTCTTCAGCATGATGTTGCAAATGAATCCAGAATATTCTTGATTTTTGTCAGGATTTCTGTAAACATTGAAGATTTTGCTATCATATTCACATACCTTTCAAGAAATACATGTTCATGCATATCTTGACTGTTCTAACAAAAGGAAATACACATTCATGCATATCTTTACTGTTCTAACCAAAAAAAATACATATCTTTGTTTAGCATTTGATCTTTTCACTATAAATTAAGAGTCATTAACCTAGTGAATTACTCAGCAACTTAAAGAAAAATCAAAGAAGAGAAACAAAAAACATTATTGAGGAAAAAGAAAAACAATGTCTACTTGTACAAAAAAGAATAACATTTCTCTTATTTTTGTTCTTGTAATCATGATTATCATGACTATATCAGGGTTTATTGAAATGGGAGAAGCGAAGAAACTAAGTGAGAAACGCTCTATAGGATACGGAGCAATTGGATCAGACAATGTACCAAAATGTAGTCCGAAAGACCCAAATGCAGCTGGTTGTAAGAAAACTCCGGCTAATGTATACAATCGAGGCTGCAGCGTTGCTACCAGATGTGATCATGAAAAGATTTAGTCAAGAACAAAAGATAATCTATCTTTTAATCTTATTTATTTATTCTCTTGTTATT